GTGGAAATACTTGCTTTGTGCTTTTTAGCTAGAAGACTGTTGTCTTGGCAGGGGGCTCGTTGCTCTCCAGCGACAGCAGGTCTTGGCTGGCGGTGGCCCTTAGCAGCAAGCCCTGTGGCCACGGGCACCTTCCCGCTCCAGCCACGAGCTCTCAGTTGAAGACGTGCCAATGGTTGGTGAACGCGGAAAAGGCCAGGGCCAAGATGCGGTTGGTACTCGAAATCTGGATGCAAGCAGCCTCCAGTCCCCCGGCAGTGGGGGTGAGAAGAGGCTGTAGGCCAGGCTGCTCCCAGAGCAGCTTTTGATTTGGCAGGGCCAGTTTTGGAGGGTGCCCCATAGCCAGGAGCAGCAAGCCCAGGCAGGGCGGCCTTGCCCAGCATCCTCCAAACCCGCCAGGCAGAGGCTGCATCACAGAGCTCACAGAGCTGAGAAAGGACTCGTGTTTCCCTGCGCAGCCGAAAGGGAACAAAAAAACCCACCCAGCTGCCAAACGAAAGCAGGAAATCCTTTTTGCCTTTATGCAAATAGTCAGACAAGTGTTTTACCGTGTGTTTACCCTCCAGCTGTGCCCACCTTCCCCGTTCTCCCCACGCTTACCCTTTGCGGATGCTGTACAGTCTGCTGTGGCTTTGTCCCCGGCAGGCAGCCGGCACACAGGGACTAGGACCCCGTCCTCCCCGCGCACAGCCCCTTGCCAGCATCGGCTGCATCCACCCCGGCCCCTTTTGCATCTCCTCCACGCTGCAGCGCTCTGCAAACCCCGGGGTCTTTGTCTGGGCACAAAGCCGTATCCACGCAAGCAGGGGAAGGGACGCTCCCCCTTTCCCAGAGCCGGCCACTGCCGGGCTTCTACAAAGCATGGCTGGAGCATCTTTAAAGCCAACCTTCAGCTTTTCCAGCAGGTAAGGTGTGGGGTTGCTGCTAGGGAGCTTTTGAAACCCATCTTGCACAAAGAACAAGACAGGAGCTGCAATCCCAGCAACAGCTTTTTCCCTTGACCAAGCGGCGAAGCCTCCCGTAACTGCACAGCCTGCTTCTTTCTCCTGCATTTTGGGGTTTCTGCTTTCAATAATTTATCACCAAAGAACTGAGATATCAACAGGGGGAAAGTGAAAACAGCCCCGACCCAAAATAGGAAAAAAGGAGTGCCAGCCATTTTAGAGGAGTTTTAAATCTCCCGCAGCACGAGACCGGCAGGGCTCAGATATGGCCTCCGCTGATGGCCATTTCCAGGAACACTTCATTCTCTTCTACAGGAAAGAGGAGGCAGGAGGTTTTCTCTCTGTGATTGAAAAGGTTTTTCCAGCCTCCTGCCTACCAACCCTCCTGACTGCAGGAACAGGCAGGGCACAGACACAGCCAGCCAGGACCCAAGCCCCCTTCAGCCGCCGCTGCTCAGCTGTCAGCCAGTTTCCCTGCTCCGCAGGGTCACAGATTACTTTTTCCTGCTTATTATTAACCCCAGACTCTGGCCACGACCCTTTCCTTCTTCTAGGGGGGGAGCAGAGAGCCCCAGGAAGGCAGCCACCATGCTCAGGCTATTGTGTCTTACACCAGGGCTCATTCCTCCCCTGGATTTTGCTGTTCTTTGCAGTGATGATTTCTCACAGAACGGTTTGGGTTGGAAGGGACCTTAAAGATCATCTAATTCCACGCCCCCTGCCATGGGCAGGGACACCTTCCACTAGACCAGGTTGCTCCAAGCCTCGTCCAGCCTAGCCTTGAACACTTCCAGGGACGGGGCATCCACAGCTTCTCTGGGCAACCTGTCACAGTGCCTCACCACCCTCTCCGGGAAGTTTCTTCCCCCTGTCCAATCTGAATCTCCCCTCTTTCAATTTAAACCCGTTACTCCTTGTCCTGTCACTTCCTCCACTTGTAAAAAGC